GTATCATTAAAAGATGTTTTGCTCACATCTCAATTGAATCCTTCTTTTGAAGGCTGTTGTGTGGCCCTCCCACAGAATAAGACAGTCTTCTTTTTCTTCTGTGTTATTGCTTGGTTTTGATTTTTTTTTCCTTCTATAATAATTCAGTCAACATTGACAGCTACATAAGAAAGAGAGGACCAAATAAGATATAGCAGAATTAGGTGCCATTCTATTTGAAAAATGTGTTAGACCTTTTGAATCATCATTTAGACTGTTGCTAGTAATATGTCTGAAAATGTCTTCATTGCAAAATAAAATCATTTAGCTGGTTATGTAAAATGCAACACATGTTTCTGTCCTTTTTTAGTCAGCTTTTATGTTCTGTTGTTACACGCAGAATGTTGCTGAAAGTACAGTTATGGATGTAGCACTTTTCCTTGTTCTGTATTCCCAAACCATGAGCATTTTGCTTTATATTCTTTTTCTTGGCCCTTACTAAGAAAATGGAGATCTTGCTTCCTTCATTCTTTCTACATATCTGGTGCAGTTTTGCATACAAAGATGTTCAAGGGTTGTCTTTTTCCTTCGGTCATTAAGTCCTTGAGAATCTTCAGTAAAAGTTCAGGCATTCAAGTTCTTCATTTCCTTTTCTAGAGGTTTTATATAAGCTTTAGTGAAGCTTCAGACTGGCTGATTGGTATGTGTATCTACCATGTCATTAGGAGATGTGCACTTCTGGATCTCCTATCCACGTTCTTTGTGTCCTGTGGGGACAAAAGGATTGCCTTTAGTGTTCTCGTAGGGACTCCTTCCATCAGCCTTCAGGCTGGGGCAGTTTAATGGCCTCCAGTGTATAGGAAAGGTAATCTGGTGGACATATGGGAAGGATTCTTCTGAAAGAAGAACTCAGGGCTGAAATAGCAGAACTTTGTGAGTCATTTGTGGTTCTTCCGTGAGTAAGAAAGGGACACTTTTTAACGATCATTTACTTGAGCAAAATTTGCCATTGGCCTAAAAACCTCCAAGACATATTGACCTGATTGTGTATTTATGCCCTCTTCAGATACTGTTGTGAGCATTTTCAAAGTGTGTGTTGTCTGGAGTCAAGCATACATAACCCCCTTAGAGCTTTGAATTTGTACGTTCTCAACTTGTGTTATAAAGCTTAACTTGAGTATGAAACCTTTTATGGACTTCTGGCTGCCTTTTGTCGAGGTTGCAGATTCTCTAAGATATTTGTATTTTATTTATAATAAAAATGCATCCTTTGTCTACTTGCCACTAATATTTTAAAAATATTATTTATGTAAAAAACAATTATTTACAGATACACACTTCTTGAAGTTACTAAGGTAGTTCTTGAAGACTAAGTAACTTAGTTCTGCTTCTCCTTCTGCATCAACTTGTTTATGTTTGTTATTCTTTTTTTGGACATCATTCCAAAGCTAAAACTGAGTGCAAAGAGATGCTGCAATAGTGTTTGTGTTATGATAACCACATAATGAAGATTCTGGAAAATTGGAGCTAATGTAGTTTCTAAGTGCATATCTACCTACTGAAGACAGACTGTACAATGAAAAATCTTTAGTCTTAGCTGGTAAGACTGAGATGTTGACTCCTACAACTAATGAATGTCATTGTTTTACAGAACACTTATATTTTATCCTCTGTTCAAAAAATATTTCAGCTAAAGCAACTTTTGTTTTTATGAACTAAGTACTTTTTTATAGCTGTCTTCAGGTTGTCTTCATAAAGAGTGTTCAGTGAGACATAAGGATACTCTTTCTATGGGAATTAATTTACTGTCCACTTGGGCACTCTGGCTGGAATCTTGGTTCAGGAAATGGGATACAATTATTGATAAAGCCCCTTCTTTTCAAGGGAGCATCTGTTTGGCTAGATATGAGTCAGGCACTGAAATATATTGGAGGGAATAAAGGTTTTACTGTGTGCCTTCTCAACAGTGCAAATTTCAAATAGAGTTAAATTCTTCTGTAGACATTTTGGTAATTTTGGTGCATCCTTTATCTCACAGGAAACAACATTTTATAACTGTATTTCAATATACAAGGAGACACCCTTTGGAGACTAATTTAAAATTTCAGGCTGCAATTATGGAAAACTAGAGTCAATATAAATAGTAATAATAGTACAAAGACAGCTTAAAACCAGAAACCAACCCTGTGGAATACAGGGTATTCTGCTTGATGCACTTTGCATGTTACATCTCTCTTAAAGCTTTCAAACAAAGAAGGGGTGGATGGGTAGGTGTTTTGTGGGTGGTTTTGCTGTGGCACATCAGAGTCATTTCCCATTGTTAGAAATCAAGATGATGAAGTAAACATTCTGGTATCTTCAGTTTGTTTATTTTGGGAAATTGTGGGTGCTCGTGTCAACTAAAGTTAGAGGGGGAATGTATAAGTTCTGATTAAATACAAAGGGAGCTGCAGAGGATATGAATATGGAGAATAATATTTTTCTATTTCTTCATGCTGCTAGCCAAGAAGAGCTTTATACTTTCACATTTGTATTGTCTGTGAATAACACTGTGTTGTCAGATCCCTGTTTAACACAGTCTGCTTCCTTCTAAAGATCTGGTGCTGAATCTGTGGAAGACTAGGGAGCAACTGTGGGATGTTTGACTTTCCTGGTTAGAATCTCCAGGGGTAGTTGTTGAACAGCCTCTTAGAACCTGACAGGGATAACAGTGCTCTCATGACCAGCACCAAGTTTAAAAAACCTGTATTTACTGTATACAGCATTGATGTATTTTGGGGGATTCCAGAAGCAGTGAGACAACTTGCTTTGATGTTACCATCTGATAACTGATTGAGACTTTTTTCTTCTTCCAGTTGCTTTTTCAAACAATCGTTTCATTAGCAGTTGCTAAAATGTAAGTTATGTGTTCCCTTGTGTTGCAATAAATATTTATATTACAAACTTACAAACAATGGAAAGAAAAATATTTTTATGAGCTTAGTGAAAAGGTTGTTGTTTGACTGGACTTAAAATACAGCTACAGGCAAAAGCAAGTTCTTGTACAGGCATGTGCTTAATTTTAAGAGTGGAGTTAGAAATGCTGTGTGTGTTTTTGACTGAATAACTGTTACTTTCAGCAGCCGTTAGTTGATCTTTTAATAAAACTCTGGCCTGTCTGCAATTCAAAACATGCATATTCAGACACGAATGTTTCTCTTCTGTGGTTTCAAAGATGCATTCTTGCATCTTGCACAGATCGGTGGGTAAGGGAGGGAATATTGTGGGCTGTCCAGTTTTGCATCTCTCAGCTAAACCTGAAAATAAGACCATACAGTGAGGATGCCTGGTTTTCATACTTGCTGGATTTCTGCAATCTAGACCAGCTGCCTGATATAAAGTAAAAGTCTTAAAAAAACCCCAAATATGCGCAAACTGCACGTTGCTTTTAAAACTCTTTCAGTGTATTCTGGAATTGTTTTCCTTCTCCCATTTGCTCTGAATAAGTTTTGTGTGTTTCATGGTCTGCTCTTGACTTCCTCTGTTTGAAGAACAGTATTTATTGCTAAAGTACAATGCCTTATTTCAGTTTGGAAGAACAACTTAAAGAACCCATGTGTGTAAATATTTGTTCCTTTTTTTGCCAGCCCTATTCCCAAGTTGCTACTAATTAGTTTATTTTAAAAAATAAGTATGAAATTAAATAAAAACAATTTTCCAGAGCAATGCTGAGTCCCTTACTTCCTGAATAGTTGGAATGCAGTTGAGATGGACAGGACAGATCAATTGAATTGTGACAGATAATGCACTGATGTAAGGAAAACATCCTTCATGAGTTGGGGAGTAAGGGAGAGAAGGGCTGGAAACAGAGAGTAGACTTGAATCCAATCTAGTGACCCAGTACTGAGATGCATTAGTAATAATGAATGCTTCACACACCGTAAATGTGTCTTCAGTCTATTGATGTGTGACTATTTTTTCCTGGGTCTTACATTGCTGTCCAGGATCTCAAGAGGTCACCCACAGTATTTCAGTGTATTGGTTATAAAAGGTCTCTTTGCTTTTAATGAAGTGTGTTTTCACCTTGTTTTGTGACTACAAGTCTGGAAAACTATTGCCTGAAGCATGGTTAAAAAAAAACCAAACTCAAAGTTGGCTCAAAATAGTATATTGAAGCAGGCTTTCACTTGACATAAGATTTTTTGATTTGGGACATTTTGAATTTGAATTTTTTGGCTGACAGATTTGTATCAGTTTTTGAATTTGAGAGGCATTGGAATGTTTGTGTGCTGCAGGAGCCTTGGGATGTATTACCTCTGCTATTTGAAGCTCAAAGAAAACAAATGCTCTTTTGTTCAGCTTTTCATCTAGATTACTCTTAATGTAAACTGGGTTATAGAACATTGGATAATGCACAAAGAGTTTCCCATAACTTTCTAATCCCCCTCCAAATATCTTTTTCTAGAGTAGTTACTTTCAGAATACTTTATACTTATTAAGAAGAAAGATGGACATACTAAAGCAAATGATCTGCACTGTGTCACTGGCTTAGTGTGCTGCTTATTAAATTCAAAGGAGAAATGCTGGTGCCAGTTATACCATAAGACTCTTATTTTTAATGAAAAATGCACTAGAATTGACTGGTCCCTGTCATGTGGACAGAGTAGTAATATGAAACAAATAATGTATGTGCTCAAACTACCTTTCATTATTTACTGTGACTTTAATAAAATGTATAGAAACATGGAATATGGGTGCAGGCTTTGGCTGTCATTTTTGTGAAAGCATTTCAATTTTTTTTTTCTGTTTAAGAAACCTTTTTCTTTAAGCAGTCAGGTGAATAAATATTAGACAAGAAAAACTGCTAGAATCTTACTCTTGAAATTATGTGTGCACACTGTGCCTAGGTGCTTGTACAGTATATTACTGCAGTGTTCTGTCACATACAACTTCTTAAATGGATACGGTCACAATGACACAGGAATGACCACAAACGAGGGAACTTTGATTTCCAGATGAGGTGCAGACAGAGTATGTTTCCCAAACCAGAATATGCAATGCAGTTCCTTTTGGTTCCTGAGGTTAGCTTTTAAAATGCAGAAAACCAGTTACTTCTTGAGATGGTGTTTTGAACATTTGTGTATTGTCTGCTGCATCCTTATAATAGCTTTGTAACAAATTCCATAATTGTTTTTAGGAAGCAAGTCCTTAGTTCAGGAATAAGCATGAGCTTGTAGAAGCTTGTATTTAAATAATAAGAAAAGTTGGGGGTGAACACATCAGTTGCCTGAAAGATGGTATGTTTTCATTTTAGGGTTTTATACTGTCAGTTGTTTTTGAACACACTAAAGCATCTCTAGTTCAAAGTTCTAATTACAGTGCTTCTGCAATTATAGTGAATAGACACATTCTTGTAGCTGACCCTTTAAGCACATTGGTGTTGCCACTTGGACACAGAATTCTATTATTATTTCTCTTATGATCTTTCCATAATTAATTACTTGTGGTATAGACAAATCCTGCAGTTTGATTCTTTTATATCTGGAGTTCTTTCAGTGCAGAGTGTTTTTATTAGAAGGAGATATTGTTAATGTAATAAAGATTTCTGCTGTCTTGAACTGGGTTGATTTGAGGTAGGAACTACTGTCTTAACATGCAAGTGTGCAGAATGGGGTCTCGGCGAGTAAAGTTTGGATTATAACTTAACTCTGTCCCAAAGCTGTTGCTTTCTGATGACAGCTGTTTCTTAGTGTCAGAGTTCTGCAGTGGTTTGAAATGAAAATGTCAAAATGGTCTATTTGAAGCATCGTTCTTGGGCTTTCCATCTTTCCTCATGTTTTTTAACATGACATGATCTAATGATTGTCCTAGTGTACTAAAAGCTACAATGGCTTCTATAAGAATCAGCTTGAAAGAGTAAATTTTTCTTTTTTTTCTCCCTGAATTATTGGTGAGGGGTTTTTTTAAAGTGTAATTTAACATAGTAGGTTATGATTAAATATTGCAATGGGTAACTTCTAATGAAAGCCTTAACAGTTTTTCATAAATAAAATAGACTATACTGTGCTTCATGCATTTAAATGTGAACAAACCTAATGAACTGTATTGGAAACTTGATAGCTGACTTACAGTGATTGTGAGTCTGCCTGTTTAAATAGCATTTCAAACAGATAATACAGACTGTCACAGTGTGTAGCTGATAACAAAATAGTGCCTAGACCACACTTCAGTGCAGAAGGCCTTACTTGCATACGGAAGACTGTGCTGTATTGGTACTGTATTTTATCTGGGTATCCCATAATGATGCTGCTCATTTTCATGATGTTCTACTCTGACAAACACTTGAACTGAATAGGAGGTGAAGTGTTGAAAAATAACTTGAATCCTAAAGTTCCTTTGGCACTTGATCTGGTATGAGCTAAGCAGAAAGAAAAGCTACTTAAACTCTGCTACCCTGCAAATGCTTTAGGAATGTGAGTGGCTTACTTTAGGGTATCACCTTAGAACAATTACCCCTTTTCCATTTTGTACATCTGATTTAGTTCTAAATGACTCCTTTAACAAAATAACCCAACACAACAAAACAAAACACACACAACCTCCCACTCCTTATGCCATTTTTCTTTCTGTTATAAAGAAAGATGTTGTATCCTTAGAAAGGCATGATAACTCCCAGTTAGGTATGATGTGCTAAAGTATGGTGTGTGGTTACTGTGATCAACAGCAGCGAGAAAGAAAATGGTTGTAAAAGGAAAATTTGAAGTTTTTAATTGGAATGTGTACTCTTTTATAAGTTGTTAATGTTTTGAGTGCTTATGTCAAAAATTCAGATACTGTTTTCTGAGCATTTTGTCTCTGCCTTGATTTGTTGAATTAATTCTATAATTAATGTCCTCTGGGATATCTTCTGGTAGCGGAATTGTGCGAAGACAAATTCCTTTTACAGAACTAGCAAGTCAATATTAGCTATTTCTTAAGTGAGACACTATCCTCTGTGTGCCTTTTGCAAGTAAATGTTGACAGGCTCATAGGAAATGCAGCTGACGTTAGGAAGCTTGGGTGGGGACTACAAGGAGCTGGCAAATACTACAGAGTTTAGTGCCAGATATGCTGACACAACAGTACTTCACTGGTAGAAGTTTTCTTTAGGCTGCTAATTCTGTCTTCAGAGTAACTGGAATTAAAGCAGTGTCTCTGATGCCAAGTTAAAATAGCTAAAGCAACAGTTTATGGGAAATTGAGAATGCTTTCCACATCTCAGGTCCTCAGAAATATTAGTAAAAAGAGCAAGCTCCTCTCTTAATGAAAGCATGAGTTATGAACTGTGCCATAGAATGAATCCACTGCAAAACAAGTCTCATCTAACTGTAGATCATCAAAAAAGCTCAAAGAAGGAAAGGCTAGCAGTGTAAAGTATCCATAAATACTGAGCTCTGACTGTTTTATATCATAGTTTCCATTTATTTGATTTGCCAATTCATTGCCATATTTTGTAAGGCACCCTTTAATAACTTCCTTTAGCTTTCAAATAAAAATCCTTTATTTTAAGTGTATATGGACACTGGAAAATACTATGTTGTCAAATGATGCAGTCTTGGTGGAAGGATGCAGCTCTATTACATAAATATATTGGGTTTGTGTTTTTTTATAATTTCAGCTTCACTCTTAGATGTTAGGAAGAGCTTCCTTCCATTTCTTAGAGTGCAGAACTCAAAGCAAGTGTTGGAAGAAAGGAGCTTCAGATGGTGAATTTAATTTGTTCAGCATTGGCACAGTGCAGTGTGCCATGACAAGTCAGCTTTAATATTATTACCCCTTTGAAGGTAGGCAGCTGCATTGTGCTCTGCCACTACAGTAGAATCTCAGTAGTGGACTGAAGCAGCTTTGCCTACAGCAACTGGATGGCAGTATCTTGCATCCATGGGAGGCATTGGCTTTTGCTGACCTCAGAATTATGGATCTCCTCTAAAGTTTCCTGTTCCCTGACAGTTTTATCAAGAGAAAGTGAAAAGCAATATATAAATATAAGGAAAGGCTGTTTTTAAATCATGGAGGTATTTTTGCATGAACAAGTGTCATATAAAGTGAAAAATAGATTGAAGAGTTTTTTCTCAGAGATCACCTGTATCTTCTTTCATAACATTCCTTATCAGTTCAACTCTGCAACACTGTGATGTCTTTCAGGCTAAGATTCGTCTTTTCCTGAAAACTAGCATTTAGAAAGTTTGTTTTTAAGGCTATGAAATTAAAACTGGTGTTGTCAGAAAGCTATGTAGCAAACAACTATGTAGCCCATGACTTTGACAAGTTGGAGGACTGGGCAATCACCATCCACATAAAGTTCAACAAGGGAAAGTGCCAGAATCTGCACCTGGGCTGGGGCAACTCCAGATGTACGTACAGACTGGGGAATGAGAAGCTGGAAAGCAGAGCTGTGGAAAGGGACCTGGGGGTCCTGCTTGATGGCAGGTTGAATATGGGCCAGCAGTGCCCTGGCAGCCAGGAGGGCCAACCATGTCCTGGGGGGCATCAGGCAAAGCATCACCAGCCGGTCGAGGGAGGGGACTGTCCTGCTCTGCTCTCCACTGGGGCTGCCTCACCTTGAATATTGTGGCAATTTTGGGCACCACAATATAAGAAAGATATTAAGCCATTAGAGAGTGTCCAAAGGAGGGCAACAAAGATGGGGAAGGGCCTTGAGGGGAAGCCAATGAGTAGTGGCTGAGGTCACTGGATCTGTTCAGCCTGGAGCAGAGGAGACTGAGGGGAGACCTCATTGGAGCTACAACTTCCTTGTGAGGGGAAGAGGAGGGGCAGGCACTCAGAGACTGTCACTGGTCTCTTCTCTGTGGTGCCCAGTGACAGGACCCAAGGGAATGGCCTGAAGTTGTGTCAGGGGAAGTTTAGTTTGGATATTAGGAAAAGGTTCTTCCCCCAGAGGGTGGTTGGGCACTGGAACAGGTTCCCTGGGGAAGTGGTCACAGCAGCAAGCCTGACAGAGTTCAAGAAGTGTTTGGACTATACTTTCAGGCACATGGCGTGACTCTTGGGGATCCTGTGCAGGGCCAGGAGTTGGACTCGATGATCCTTGTGGGTCCCTTCCAACTCAGCATATTCTGTGATTCTTTGACTTGACTAAATCAAGGTGTACAACTCACCATTCATTTTTTGTGTTGCTCTTGGTGGTGATCTGTTCTAAACTGTCTCTGGACATTCTGTAGCACATCTCCAGGAGTTACTCTTTTGTGCTGCCTGATAACTCCCAAATTGTTACCTAGTTCATTGCGCTGCCCGCCACCCCCCTGCCCCAAGGATGTTCTGAACCAGATCCTGGCTTTATTGGTGTGTATGTACCCAGAAAGGCACATGTGTCTTAGCTCCATAAAAGGAAGACATGTTTGGAGAGAAGAATAGAGGCTTGCTTAACAAAAGGTTAATTTTCTTTGGGGTAATAGGAGTTAAACTTTGGAGAACATTAAGTCTTTATCTTGGTTACAGCTTTGTTGAATGAAGGAGGATCTGATAAATGTTACAGTGACTCTTTGCTTCCAGGGAGGAGTTTCTTTGTTGAATAAAAATTGTGCAGTATCACTGAGCTGATCTGGTCAGTGTCCAAGATTTAAACTGTCTCAGGGGATGTATTGCTGACATTCTCTGTGGCCTGTTTAGGTATTTCTGTTTACGGATGTGTAGAGTGATCTATTTGCAGTGCAGTGAGACTGCACTTCCTGTGGGTTGAATGGTGTTGCTTAACTGTGGTCAGCTGAATTCCTTGGATGAGAGTTGGATTTTTGTAATGTAATGTCAATATATTTTGCCAACAATAGCTGGCAGTGAATGCATGCAAAGCTAGCATGAAATAATTTCTGATGGTGTATTAAATATTGTGAACTCTGTTCTTAATCTTTTCTGCATGGTTCTGACAAAAGTGAGCTGCAAAAATGGCTTTGTAATTATCCATTGCAACTTTCATACTAAGTCTTCACTAGTGAGCAGGATAACAAACTGTGAATGTATGCATTTAGAAAGGTAATGGACAGACGTGCTTTGACTTCAGAATACTTTTTCAGAAACATAGTAGCTGACACCAGTTTTCTTAGACACTGATAAGAAAATTTGAGTGTCAAACTTTTATTTTTTTCAGATGGAGCAATTGTCAGATGAAGAGCTTGACCATGGTGCAGAAGAAGATAGTGATAAGGAAGACCAGGATCTGGACAAGATGTTTGGGGCCTGGCTGGGTGAACTGGACAAACTCACACAGGTGAGGGATATTTCAAACATCTTACTGAAGTATTATGATTCTTTTCAGTTGGATGCTACCTGCTCAGCACTGCTGCTTGCAGCAAGGTAAACTTTAGCCTGTGACCAGTTCAGTACTCTTTAAAAGTTTGTAAATTGGCTTCTTTTCCCCATCTCAAGGTTGTTAAATTTATTTTTCCCAACCTTCTAGTTTGGCCTTTCCCAAAGGGTAAGATTCCTATGGAATTGGTATTTTGTGCTTGTGTATATAAAGAAACATGGACTTTAGCTGACTAGAGATAGGGTGTGTCTCCAAACGTGCTTTGACGTTGTCCAGCTGTGACAGCATTTATTTGTTGCACCTGAACAGCAACAAGGAACAGGAAATTGTGAACGTTGCCCCTCATGACGTGGTAAAGTGACCTGATACACCCTAGAGGACTCATCATTGTTCCAGAGTACTCTTCCTGCATCAGAGAAGCAGCTGATAGGACATCTTTTGGCACTTCAGCTTTCCAGTGCTTTTCCTTTCCTTCACAAGCAGCTCTTGCATTTTGCCTGGTATGCCTGTCCTGGGATGGATGATAGGCCATTTCTCTGTGACTGCTTGCAGGGGGTTTTCAGCTCTGTGAGCTGGCCCTCCGGAATAGCATATTTAATCTTCTCCTTGTTTATCGTGTGGAATTAAGCAAAGGTATGGTAACTGAAGTTTCATTAAGCTAGAGAAGAGGCAATTTTTCTCATCTTCATCTTAACCCAAAGACTGAAGGAAAATTGAGCTATTGATGACAGAATTTCAGATTCAGGCTCATCTCTGAATCTGGTTAAATTTCTGCCTGCAGGTTCTAAATGTATATAGCATATAGGGGAAAGTAATTTTTTTTCTGAACTTGTACATGCAGGGCAATCTTGCTTTTTGAAATGAATGGAAGAGTATGACATGAATCTGTATATATTAATTCTTGCTGTGTTTTTAACTTTGTATGAAGGATTTTTAGTGATAAGTGAAAACCATTTTGAAGGTTTGGGCTTTGTAAATCACTTTGAGTGAGGATCTTCACAGAACAGCACAGCGGGTAATTGGTCTTGAACCTCTTATTCTCTGCCCTGTTTTTTCATGTCTAGCAGCCTAGAAATATAAGCATATTTTATTTGGGGGTTATAGCTACACTGTTGATGTGCAGATTTCAGGGTCATGTCTCAGTTTGTTGCTGGTCCATGCAAAGTTTTTAAAACCTACTAATGGGTAGTTAACAGGAGACCCACGTTATTTGTTCAACACAGTCTGCAACATAGCCTGACAGTTGCCCTTCTATCTTTTGCAACTATTGAGAAATGACATTTCCCCCAAAACTTTGACCTCATATTGTTTTGTAGAAGCAAATTCATGGAGTTAGTTGTGTCTGAGTTAGTTTATTTGGAAAATGATCAGGTCTTGATGCAGCCCTAATGAAGTCCCAATAAAGAGGGGTGATTAGAGTTAATGAGATCTAAAGTGCATTCTCCTGTAGTCTCAGCATTTGTTGCTGTTTATCAGCTGGACTTCCAAGTGCAGTAGGAGATCCTGAGATCCTTGAACTTTAACTTCCTTTTTAGATTTCATAAATGTTTACTTTAAGGGGATTTAAAGTAAGACCCAGATTCCTCTCCAGATGTAAGTGCTTTTTTTAAAGATTTGAAATTGTTAAAATACCCATGAGATCACTGGAATTCACTTTGCCCTCTTTAACTGTTGGTCTAACAAAAGCGTTATAATATGAAGTCACAAATCTGCAGCGTGTGTGAGCCGTGTTTGGCACAGTGGATTAACATTTATACTGCTTAAGTTGTCCTGCTCTATGGTACAGGTTAAATGAAGGAAATCTTACCTTGCTTCTCATGATTATTCAGAACTAAGCTTTTTGGTGCTGTTTCAGTTTTCAGCAGTTCTCCAAAATGCTGTTCTAGCAATGTAATGTATTATGGAGAATGTAACAGGTAACAGTGAGAGAATATCACATGTATTTTCAAGGAGGTGAAATAATTTTGTTATTATTAAGGTCAGTAAAATGCATTTTAGATATTTTTAACCAGGATAGATTTGCTTTACAGGTCATCTTTTGTAACAGTCTGTGGATTCAGTCTGAAGGAATGAGCCCTAACTTGCCTCTTCTGTCTCCAGGGTTATAGATAGATTTTTCCTTCCCCCACCCCCCCTCCACTATTCTGTCTGGGACAACACATAAGCTTCATCAGAGATGAGATTCTTGCCATCTGATGGAAGACAAGGCTTCATCACTGTCTTCTCATTAAGTGATAATTGACTCTCTAATTGATTTTGGGAGCTGGGGAAGGGGATTAAGTTTGGGCCAGGCTGAGGAAAGGGAGTTCCGTGAGAATAAATATTAGGAGAAAAAATAGTGCATTTCATTTTTTAACAAAGGCTTGAGTAAAGATATAGAAAATGAAAATAAAAAGCTTAGGTGAGAAACTTTTATTCTGTTGGAGCTAGAAGATGCTTTTCCTTCAGACAAGCATATCTTCAGAAAATCTTTATCAGTACAAGCACTACTTCATTTCAGATGTTCTGCAGGCCTGTTGAGCTTCAGTGATGGCAAGAGCTGGATTCCCCATGTAACACTTGCCACTCCAGGGGCAGCAGCTGCTGGCCCTGTCATGTACCTCTTGGGTCACCAGCTGGGTCACAGTGCCCTACTGCTTGCTACTTACACAAATCCTGGTATTTATTATAACATTATATATTGTACCCACGTTAGCCTTCATAACAAAACAATTCAAGATTAGAAATAAAAACGTGTCTCTTTTTTTAACCTATACTAGTTTTTCTAAAAAAAAGTGTCCTACATAAACTGACTAGGGATTGCTTTCACGATTTAACATTGTTCACAGGAAAGGCTCATTGAAAAAAATGTCTGAATTTAGCCAATTTAAAATCCCTTTTAATAAAATAGAATTCTTCATTGAATGTTTTTATGTGCTTATGCCATGATTATGCTCATAAGCTAATGATGCATATCTTAGGGTATCACAGGCTGAATGTGTTTAGATCCTTACCCAGTTTGCTGCAGAGAATTTGTTACAGCTAAGCCAGCTGCCTGTGTTTCAAAATGAGCTAGTATGTAACACCACTTAAAAAAGCATGTGGAATATGCTTCCTTCCTTTGATTCAGCAAAAACCAGAATGTGTTTAAGGCCTTTTCTTTATTGCATATTTGAAGCTAAATCTCTGTTGTATGACAATGTATGTTTTCAGTCTAAAGCCTGAAAAGGAGGGTTGGTTTTTTTTATGTGCCGGGAGATTTTGAAAAATTTCTCTTGGAGAAAATGAATTCATCTTAAAGATTTGCTTGTCCGATTCCGTGTCAAACTTTATTTTGCCCTTTTTTTGATCTTTTTCAGAGTTTGGATACAGACAAGCCTGTGGCACCGGTGAAGAGATCACCTCTCCGTCAGGAAACCAATCTTGCCAACTTCTCATATCGCTTCTCCATGTACAATTTGAATGGTTTGTTGAATTATTTACCCCTCAAATATTAGTTTAAGAAAAAAAAAACCTTATTCCAGCTACAAATGAAAACGGGTTAAAATATAAGAGCATTTGAGTACACTTCTAGCTGAAGTGAGAACATATTTGCTGAAGGCATTGCTTTCTGATGCCAGAATTTTGAGTATACTGAAACAGTATATATTTTATAGCACCTAGTATCTGAGAACTGCAGTCTAGTATTTGTACAGAAAAGCATGTTCTGGGGTCTGCTCTCATGGAAGAATGAATTAATGTGTATCTGTTAACCAGGAAGAAAGAGCATCTTGCTTCATGGAACAGGGTGCAGGAATATAGGTACAGAATGCTTTCACATTAAACAAAAATCGTATTTTTCCTTTTCTTAAAATAGCTTCCCCTGGTTGTAATACAGAAAACCTTAATTTAAAAGCTTGAATATATATATATAGGGGTTTGTTTGTTTGTTTGTTTTTAAAGCAGTTACATTGTTTTTGCAATTCAGAAAATGTTTAGCAAAACACCTGCACTTTTTTGAAAGGCTGAGGCGTGATGCTCTGCAGATGTATTTTTAAATCGGTTCACAGGAAAGCAGTTTTAACTTCTCAAACATAGTCTGCACACTCATAGATTTCTTTTGCTGGCAAATGTGTTTAACCTAAATTGTGTGAAAGGTGCACTGGTCAAGAGTAGTAGTGCAAATGAACTTCTGCTTCACAGTGAGCAGAGATCTTGCAATAGAGATGGGAAAAGAAAATGCTGCTTCCTTTATTCCCTTACCCTAACTGTTAGATTTGATAACATAAAGTGAAGAGTTGCAAATGAAATCTCTGCACAAACTGACAACTGTTGTTTGTTGCAGAAGCCCTGAATCAGGGGGAGACTGTGGATCTGGATGCCCTCATGGCTGATCTCTGTTCCATAGAACAGGAGCTCAGCAGCATCGGGTCTCATTCAGCAAACAATGCTGCAGTGAAACGTCCTGCCACAGAACCCAAAACTCAGAAACCACCTGCTAGTCGACCTTCTACTAAGCACAGCAGCATGAAAGGATTATCCTCCTCCTCTGGTAAGGTGACTAAACCATCACATGCCAACGTGTCTTTGGATGACATCACCGCACAGCTAGAGAAGGCCTCTTTGAGCATGGATGAGGCAGCCCAGCAGTCCGTTGCAGAAGACCCCAAACCAGCAGTTACTGCTCAGCACAGGAGGACAGCATCTGCTGGCACAGTGAGTGATGCTGAGGTGCGCTCCATCAGTAACTCCTCCCGCTCCAGCATGACCTCTGCAGCTTCCAGCATGGACTCCTTGGATATCGATAAGGTGACGAGACCTCAGGAACTGGACTTGACGTCACAGGGGCAACCAATCACTGAGGTAGAGTGTCACTAATTTGAGATTTTTGTTTGGTTGGGGTTTTTTTCTTCATACTTAGACACCCCACCCCACCCCCCATGGTAAAACTCCTAGCTAAACATCTGCAGCACAGTGGGGTTGATTAAAGACTAAGATTGCTAATTGCATGGGCTACACTTGCTCTAGCTGCTACTTTCTCTGGTTTTGGTTCTGTCTGCAAGGCAGCTCTTCTTTTAAAGAATGTGTTTTGGGTTTGGTTTTTTTAAGAGCTTTCCGCATTTCTTGTTCCTCCTAAGCCAACCATGCATTTTAATTTTTTTTTGTAGTTAATATTTTTAATCTAAGTAAGTCTCATATATTGCTTTTAATTTAAATCTGAGGAGTGCACATCTGTGGAAAAAAGAAAGTACAATTGAAAAACTGCATTCCTGTTACAGTACAGTTAATACCTCAAACACATGGAGCAATTTATGAATGCCTCTCTGGAGCTATACTATACCAATAATTTGCTGCTACTTAATATTCTTGTTTAATGTGTGACAGGGAGACCTCTTTGAAAAAATACACAAAAACAACTGGGCTGCAATACAACAATAGCAGATGTTAATTTGGGATTTTGGTGCCTTGACGTTGCTTAATGAGCGAGGCCACTTCAGTAAAAAAAGCCAGTTTGGTGAACATTGAAAGTGCTGGTTACTTGTGAGAGGAAATGGGAAAAATGTTATGGTGAATTTTGAAAACCTAAACTAGAAACTATCTTGTAGAAATATTCTCTGAAACAGAAATCTGACCTGTTCAAATGTCAGCTGTACTAATATGCATGTTCCCTTTGACAAGAGAAAACTGGAACAAGCTGAGTTTATTCTAATCAATAATTAACACTAATTTGAATGAGCAGTGCTGAAAGCATGGTTCTACACATCTGCAGCAAAAGTTCATCTGGTGTAGAATGAATGATGCAGGGTGTAGAGTGAATGATGCAGGCTTATCAGTCTAATGATCAGCTCATCAAGGTCACACTTCAGTTTAAATCTTTATTTGAAATGCTGAGAAATTAGTGAATGATGGTTTAGTTTAACTTCCTTTTTGTATAAAAAGTTGGTGTTCAATATGTTTTTACTGGAAATTTTTTGTATTGAGTGAATTAAAACATAGATAGAAATGTGTCCTATGCGTTTTGGAACGTTAAAATGCAAACCTTTGCATTATTGCTGTAGGCCTAAGTGTTCAAGCCAGCTTGTGACAGTCATTGATTATATTGCTTGTTTGTCAATCATTTTCTTTCTGTGCTATGACAAGGCTTATTTTGGGGGGTTTTTTTGCATCTCTCGCTGTTATTCATGGTTATATATAGTATCATTTTATTATGTAAAAGTTAGGCAATCTTGCATTTTTATCTCTTCTCAGGCTAAAAAGATGACTTATGTGAATTAGTCACTCCAACTTTCATAGCTCAAGAAAAACAGGAACATTGCATTTCTTAATTTTTAAAAATGCAAGGTGTTTTCTGCAATTGATTTTGCAGGTCTCCTAGATTCTCTCTTTTACTTCAGGAGTGATACGCCATTTCTTTCTGTCTTGAATAATCAAGAAACCACCTGCTTCACTTAAGTAACTTGTTGGTGAATTAAGGGACAGAGGCCAAGAAGTGCCTTTGTCTTCCCAGGAAGGTAATCTATATCTCTCCAAGTGTTGCAGTTGCTTTCTCAGTTGCTTTCTGAGCTCCTTCTTGGCCACTGACTGCAAGGCTCAAAATCATCCCCAAAAGCTCTTCTCAAGGACTGTGAGCACTGCCTTTGTAAACCCAGTGATTGCTTCTCATATAAGAATGTGGCTATTGTTTCTCTTCCCAGATAAGTTGATAAGAATGATTCCTTTGAAGAGGGTAACCAGAAATGCTGGTAATTTGAGAGCCAGATTCTTCTCCTCTCTTTAGAGCAGAAACCTCTGCACTCATTAACTGTGCTGCTTTGTTTTTGCTCTGTCTTTTCTTTTGAATTTCGGTAGCCTGAGGAAGGTGTTCAACTCTGAGACATTTTCCCCAGGTTTACAGAATTGGTATTCACTATTAAAACTGTTGCGTGGTGGGATGGGACGTTTTACTTGAGAAGTAGCTTTCTTTTCTCATCACTGGTGAATGGAAAAGGGGAAATCAGTTTTTTGAGATTGGGACAGATTCTGTGATAGTGTTTTTTGAAGGAAATCCACCTTTTAAATGGGTTCTTTGGAAGAATCATTAGGTATCAACAAAGCTTTTATTTCCTTTTTCATTCGTTTAGTGCCCAAAAACTAGTTTAAGGGTTTGCTAATCCTCATGGTTAGGTCGTAAACCAAAACACCTTTTACTGATAGGGTTGAATTGTACCTTCCCACCCACACAGTTGACTCAGTGGTGCTGTTTCTAGTAGAGAACAGCCCTCTGAGGAAATAGCCTTTGAAGAAGACCTAGTGCCCATGTAGGGAAAAATCCAAACAGTTTTCATGCAGAAAGTGGGAGAGGCTATTTCTTCATGGCCATAGCAGATCTGTTTTGAGATTTGTTATTCTAACATAGTGCTTTGAGTTAGCTCTTTTGCCTGTCTTCCTTGAGACTGCCTGTAGTTGAGCTGACCTTTAAAATTTCTCTTTACTGCTGTGGCTCTTATCAAAGAGGGCAGTGTCTTGGCAGCTCTGCCCTTTTGACCGATCCCTTCTGTCCTCTCCAGGCAGTTATAGGTACTTTAAAAAGTCATCCTTCCTGCTGCAACTTGATGTAATGCTCTTCCCAAGTAAAACGGAAGACAGTTTTGATGGGAGGAAATACTTGTTTGAAAAAGGAAATTAAGCTTTGCAGTTATTAACTTCAGTATTTTATCTTAAAAAATAATTCTGCTCTGTATTTGAGAGCTCTCTGACCTGGAAGTGCAGGAAAGTCCAGTAAAAGAACTGCCATGCACTGACCTGTGAAATGTATTTGTGGTCTAGTATATTTTCTGACTGATAATAGTGATCAATGTTATGAAAAAGGCTGCAATTCCACAACCACCAGAAATGGAGGATATAAATTCCCTTTTCTCTCATCCTTCCTTCCTCAAAGTTCTTGCCTACACTGTCTCATCTCCTCCATTGTCCCAGCTTTGGCACTTACTGGTCCTTAACATAGAAAACTTACTGCTTCTATTCTGGGACTCCTTCTGTGTTATTTAGGTGAATTGGGGAGGCTCAGAGGAGTCTGATCAGGGGTGTAGCCAAGTGCTGGAGGCTGGAAGGGAGAGCAGGAATACGCATACTGGTGGTATTGGATTATTCAGAACTTTTTGCCTGAGCATTTGGACAGGCAAGGTAGGGTCTTGTTTTCCTCTTCCTCCTAGCAGCCTGTGCTGTAGGAACCTCCTGGGGTTGAAGATACATCAGCATGATGACAGATGATAACTTTCAGTAGTTCTATTGACCAGGACCATCCTTGTTCTCCTTCTAAATTTGTATTTATGCCAGTTTTGGAGGAGTTGAAATTCTGGAATTTCCTGAGTTGTCTAAAATTGTGGGTTTATTAGTTGTCATCATGATTTATTTTCTTTCTTTAGTAACAATTCTTAACACTATCTCTTGAGACACTGTGAACATTAATGTCTTCAAAGACTATTGCTTTGTAGTCTCAAGATCTTGTCTTGATGGTACTGTTTTCTGACTGCACTTACGTTCTTGTCCTAAGTCCCCCTTAAGCATTGTTGAATAAGAAGAAAAGTTGTTTCTATCCCACCCTAAACCCCATAATTTTTTGTTAAATTGAAATTTGTCTTTGACAAAATGATTTCCCAGATCCTTGCTTGAATGGTATTCTTTCTTAAATTGGTAGGTTGCATTTAATTTTTATGTTTTTAGCTGTGTAATGAGTGGCATACACTCACAGGCTTTGTTTCTGTATGTGGGATACTTTACTTGAATGTAGACTGAATAAATGAAGTAGTAGCATGAGTTAAAAGTAGGGGAAGTGATGACTGTATGACTAACTTGTCCCTTCCACCCACATTATCTTTTTCCTTCTTCCTTTGGCCCCTCTGCCAGCAAGGAGTTGTCTCTGTTTTCAGTGAGCTGTGCTAGAGCAATAGGAGAAGCAAGCAGTGGGGAGAGAATAGAGAAATGTGTTGATGATGCTCATGGAGCTGTTTGTGTCTGACGGGTGAAAGGGTCCATTCATGGATGGTCATTGTTCCTGTCCTGCACATACTCAGTGAAGAGGTTGCAGATAAGTTTGAAGTCTGCCATCTGGTCTGGCACAGCACAGCACCACCCCCGCCCTCCCAACTCGATGGAGTTCTTTATGTCTGTAACCCAGTTTGCACAGCTGAGATTCTGGCTTACATATGAAGATAGTGCAAAATGTAGCAGTCAGTAACACTTCATGATTTTTTTTTAATTGTATTTTATTTTTTAGCTTTTGCATCAAGCCTAAACCTACAACAAATTTAAGTAAAAGAGATGAAAATCATGACAAGAGCCTGACTGCCAGTGCATTACAGCTACAAGTTCTTTGCTTCACTTGGCAGAAACGGCAGCAGTATAGAGTAAACATTAAACAGTATAGAGTAAACATTAATGTTTCTTTCGGGGGGGAAAAAAGGGAGGTTGGGAGGCATGACAGTTAGTAGGGATTGTCATGTAAGCTCAGCACACACAGATAAATCTGTACTAGCTAATAGCTCCTGTGGGATAAAATGGAGAACTTGAGAGGGGCACAAGGAGAAACAGAGTTTGTGTTTCATGGCAGTTTTGCCGTGGTTCTTGTATGAACTTGTTGACACTTCACTTGCCTACGCAGTGGCATAACACGAAAACTTTGGTACCCATTTAAAATTACTGAGGGCCATGTTTTATGTGGGGTTGGTAAATGTTACACTGTATGAAAGTGCAGTTGACTGCTAATGTATGCAGAGAAATCAACTGATAGTATGGTCTTTGGTAGGCAATGGTGTCTTTAAATAGAGTTGGATTGCTGAACCTCACCTGTTATTTGTAGGTGATTTAAAGAACAGTTGTGGTCT